TCTTAAATTATAGGCTTGAAGTTGGAGCGAGTTTAGTAAACTGGTTCAACTCTCTATATAATTCAGGAAACTTTTTCACCACGCTTTTGTTTGAACACTAAGTGGGAGTGAGCTCTCCATTTTGGAAAGCAGTCAATGAAAATGAAGGTCTTAACTTATTTTAAGCTGAATTCTGTCTCTCTCTCTAACTTCCACGTGTTGGCCAAAGTTCTGATGCCTGAAATAATGACAAACTAATGTAGGAAGACTAATTAACTCTCTATTATCTGTTAATATATTTTATCAGACTAAATTAAAAAAGAACTATTTGATTTAAAATAAGAAATATCTAAAAATATCTACATTCTGGATTTTAGTAAAGGAGAATTCAATTTATAGACTGGTTGGGAACAGGCAGATAATATAAAAGAATAGAGCATGCACAGTGGGAATAGTGGAGAAATGGAGAATGGCCAAAGAGAAGAGCCCATTCTTCATCCTGGAAAGACTGCTGAGATGAGAAAATGTGGGCCCAATGTTGCTAGATCCGTAACTTTTCCAAGAGAAGGCCCAAATTCAGAATTTTTATATGAATTATCCCAATTTTTAAAGTGTTAGCAACTAATTCAATTTTTAAAATATTGTATAGGCCAAACAAAACAGCTTTATGGACTGCACTCAGCTGTGGCCCACCAGTTTGCAATTTCAAATGATCTTATTTAAAGAGAAAATACATATAGTTACTATTCTAAAAACTAGTATATGTAAAGTGAAATAGCAACATACCATAAATATTGTTTTATAACTTGAAAGAAACTGATCACGACAGTCCAAGATTTAAAATTCTCTAAATTTTAGTGTCGACTGATGTAATAGCCCCATTTACACAAATCTAAGATTCACACAGCAAATTAACTCCTTAAAGAAAGTATCCTTAGTTATCAATGTTCAACAAATTTAATACATTCAATTTTTTTTAACGGCAAATTCAAAGAATAAATCTTTAGCTAGGCAAGTTCAACTAGTTGGCAACATAATTTACTTTACCAACCAGTCTGGCTTTTGTTATGTTTTGTGACTTTAGCTGATTGATGCTACAGAATCTTTCAATTCTCTTGTATTGTTACCCTCTACTGTTATCCTAATTAATGAGCAGCATGGTCAGCTGTCAATGAAAGGATCATATATTTGATAATGGTTATATAGAGCATATGATTGAACTTTATTTTCAGGACTAATGTAAAAAAATCAAAAATTGGGAGATTAATTTCCTCTGTGATAGTCAATTTAAATATTAAAAAAAGCTTTTGTAAAGATCTATTAAAATCAATTACGTTTCATTTAATTCTTCTTGGCAAAAAAGAACAAAAGAGCTATTATAAGCATATCACTATAAAGATGCTCAGAACCATTCAGTTTTTTACATATTAGCTTTTTACATCCACAGCATGCTGCCTTTGGACTCTGTGCCAAACATACAAAAACGATGATTACCAAATTGGATGTGAAATCACAAAGGATTTATATCAAATACAAATAAACATTTCAATAAACTTAGAGTCAGAGAGAGTGGAGGAGACATTACAACCAGATGTTTAATTTAAATCATTGATAGAAATAGTCAGTGTCCTCTTTTCATAAACCACTTGCATGTTATTTGTATTCAAAAGCAATGGTAAATGTCAAATGACTACTAGACCATCCTTCTGAATACAGGAAAATATCATGCTGTTTAACTCTCTAAACACAAAAAGTGCTTTTAGAAAAACAAAGATAAAGAACAACATGTCTTAGTCACACAGATCACTTCAAGAAACACAAAATGCTAAAAAGTACCATGAGTATAGCAATAAAGCCTTTCAATTACTATATATTTTAAAATTTTGGACTTCAAAAAAAGTTTATAGAGAAGAACACTTAAAATCCAGAATAAACCTTATATCTAAAGAACTGAGAAGAGTATCAAAGTTTATCTTCATGTGAGGTATCTTTTATTAAAGCTGGCAGCATTAAACAGATACTTTTCATATGTACTATGTATAAAATAATATCTAAAGGTTCTATTATACTTTGATTATGAAAGAAAATAATGAGATTAGTTAAAAAAAAAACCTAAGACTTTTACATATAAATATCAATTGTGTGTGAATCTCAGCTGTGAAATAAAAATGACTCATTAGCCATTTGTTTTTTCTTGTTTGTCCTCACCCAGTTTTTACTGCAGCAATGATGGAAAAATTTATCCATTGGAAAAGCCATAGAAAAGTCAAACAAATGGTCTAAATTTAATAGGAATAGTATGACCTTCCACTGAACACAAGATGTTGAAAAGATTAAATGAGAACATGTGTAAAGTGCCTATCAATTACCTGGGGAATAAAGGTTATTTTCCTCCCTTCTATCCTTACAAGGCTCACTATTATCTCACTCATTAAGTCTTATGTCACCTAAAGAGAGCAACCTTTGAGAGCAGCAGGAACTCAGTCCCCACAGTCTGAGACACAGTAACAAGTATTTAGTAGGGGGTTAATAAATGCTTCCTGATTTATTAGAGGATAATAATAATGAACAAATGTAAAACAGACGCTAATTGATAGGCTAAATGCATTAGTGCATTCCAGTGACCTCTATATGAAAGGTTACTAACCCATCCCGGCTAAGTGCTGAAATTATAATTAAGTCTGACGGGAAGTCCTAGATTTATACCAATATAATTACAAATATTACTTAGCTTAGTGATAGAGTATGGCAAGAACAATGAGATGAGTAATTTAGATGATACTGCAAAGTGGGTTTTAATGTTTGAAACTTCTATTACAGTACACAGGATAAGTGCAAGTAGTGTAATTAAAACTTAAAAGAGTCTGATCTTTAAAACTCTACTGTTCAACCTCATTAAAATGCATCTTTTCCCAATTAATACAAACTTTTCCATTAAAAACATAAAAATACATTTTCACTCCTTGCAAATAAATCTCTACAGTACATATATTTGGGATCAAATAGCAAATACCCATTAGAGTTAAGTAGGAAAAAATGATTGAAATAGCAAGAGGTTTGAGTAGACGGAGCCTAACAAAGGGAAGGAAAGGCACAGGGAGGGCTGCCCACTTTTTCATTTGTAAATACCCAGATTCGGCTAAATAAACATTTGAAGAGCTAGAAGATTAGAAGTCCTTGAATATCTTTGTTTAAATGACACAAACCTAAGCAAAACGTTTACTTAGGAGATAACCCCTATAATCATATATAGACTGCATCTTTTTTACCTCTGTGGTCTCAAGTACCGACTCTTCTACAAAGGTCACGTACACAGAAAATTGTTGTGGAATGAAAGGCAATCCTTATCATAATCATTTTTGTTGCAGAAACAGTTTTTTCTCCTTTTAATTCAATACATTACTAAGTTTATCTCAATATTAAGCTAATGCTAAACACCTAAAACCATAGGAAAATGCTTTTTACTTACTTTATTAGTTGTTACAAAAAACAGCTAAAAGATTATTAAGCTGTCATATAATTGACTGTGTAGAAGAATGTTGATTATAGAAAAGAATTTTATTTTTCAAATGTTTATCAACTTCCTTTAGATTTTGATATATTTCCTACAGTGACTATTACTCAAAAAACAATAAATACCTTTTATAAATGATGACCATGTGCCCATTCTAGATTAGTAAATATGTCAGGAAAAATTTTACTAAGAGAAAGCCAAGTCAAAGTCTATCACATAATTTAAAAAGGAATGCAGGGTAATTTAAGAAAATGTCACTAAAATTTAACATAATTGGGGAAAATGGAGTCTACATGATTTTATTTTTAAAGTATAAAAGCAAATTAAAAGTAGAGGGGGAAGTATCTTGAATTTAAAGCATTATCTGACACAAACTTAATAAATCATTACTCCTATTTGTGAAAAAATATTTAAATCTAAATAAGTTCTAATTTTAGCTGAAATAAGTGCTTTCTCTTTTGAAAGCAAAATATTTTTGGTGGCCTACCTTTTATTTATTTTTTTCTTGAGAAAGACTCGCCCTGAGCTAACATCTGTTGCCGATCTTTCTCTTTTTTTTGTTTGAGGAAGATTCACCCTGGGCTAACATCTGTGCGAATCTTCCTCTATTTTGTATGTGGGTCGCCACCACAGTGTGGCTGGCGAGTGGTGAAGGTCCACACTGGGGATCCGAACCAGTGACCCCTGGGTTGCTGAAGCCAAATGCACCAAATTTGACCACTACGCCACAGGGCCAACCCCAGTGGCTTATCTTTTTTAAAAAAAAAAAACAAAAAAAACTTATTCTTGGAAAGCTAATGGGCAAGAATCTCGTCTCAAGCCTATATTTAAGAACCTACCTAAACTCATTAGTTACAGTAAAGTAGCGCCACTCTGCAGCTGTTTTTATCATTAAAAAGTCTACTTTCAAGGGTTCTGGCACTTTTTTCCTTCATGCAATGTTTCAAAGAAAAATCAGTTCTTATAAGATAAATTATAAATTTTTCATAAGAAAAAACTATCCATTTTACACATTTCTACACTATATATTAAAGTTTCCATCACATGACTTTCATTTGCAAAACAAATTATATTTATAAGAGAACAAAATGCCATCCTTGAGAAAGGATCTAAATACATAACGTCTGAAATAGCTTCTCAGAATCATTTCTCTTGACAAGTGAACAGCAAAATCAACCACAAAAGTTGCAAAAATATTAAAGTGAAAAACAAACAACATATCTTGGATGGATGACAAAGAAAAAATTCAACAGACTGCTGTTATAATTGTTTAGGTAAACATTTGAATCTTAACACATAAAAACCTTGTCACAAATATAAGCAATGGATGGGTTAAAAGTATACATCTGGATGGTTTTAAAAACTTAAACATATCTATTTGAAAAGGTATGGTTACATTAAATTTTCCTTAAAGTTCACATGCCTTGCTATAATGATAATCAGTATTTGGTACATAGAACAAATGTTTGCCTCTGGAAAATGGTTTTTAAGATGTTACAATGGTTACCTGTCATTTATGATCCAGTTCAGACAGAGGTTGAGAGAGCTAAGATTTTTGCACCTCTTGACAATTTCCATCACGGTTTCATTATCCAGTTCAGTGATATGACGTAGGTCCAAGCTGGAAAGGTTTCTTAGCTAACAAGATAAATAAAATGAAAGATTGGAAAGGTAAATACTAGGTTCATCCTCAAAAATTACATAGTTTATTACAAAGTAGAGTATCACTGTACAATATTTAAAATAGATAGTCTAGAATCATTAAACTAAATGTTTATGTAATATTTTACATACTAAATTAGAAATGAAGGCAGAAATCTATAGTGAACATAGAAATGGCAACAAACATTAAAATCAAACAACGTTTATCGAGGTATCAAAAAAATCAAAAGTTAGCAATCTAATAAGCAGGGAAGCTGTTATATATTACATTAAGCACCCACAATTTGATAGGATTATTCTTTTTAACATTGTTCAATTTCAGATATTTATCTTCATGATTGTAATGCCACTTTGGTATAGGTTTTCTCATTTTTTAAAAGATGAAATATGAGTAAGTGGTTAATTCAGGGATTCTTGGCAATTATTTTATCAATGTACTCCAAATTGTACTCTTATGGGTTGTGTGTTTCACCATGCAGAAAGCAATATAAAACATTGTTTAAATGGTAAAGATTTTCTCCAGGTACCACCTTCCCCATTTCTTCATTTTCTCTACTCCTTTCCTGATGTTTCCTGTCTTCCCCTGATATTTAGTCCCCAAAGAAAATTAATAATATCATTTACACAAAGATGGTAGGATCTTAAGTATCTTCTTCAAATAAGCTACATTTCAAATAAGCTATTTTTACTTAATAACATGCAAAGAATTAATCCGGAGGCACATGGTAGACAAAATAACATCCCTCCCAAAGATGTCTATGCCCTAATTTACCTTATAAGGCAAAAGAGACTTTCAGATATGATTAAAGTTATGGGTTTTGAGATGGAGAGATTATCCTGGATTCTCAGGGTAGGCCAATCTAAGCACATGAGCCCTCATGGGCAGAGAATCTTCCAAGCTAAAATCAGAGAGATGTGACAGAAGATGATGCAGGAGATACTTGAATTGTTAAAGGGATTCAACCTGCTCTTAGTTGCTTTGAGAATGGAGGAAGAGGGCCAGGAGCCAAGGAATGTGGGCAGCCTCTAGAAGCTGGGAACAGCCCTGAGATGACAAACAGTGAGAAATAGGGATTTCAGACCTACAGCCTTAAAGAACTGAATTCTGTCAAAAACCTGAAGCAGCAAGAAAATAGATTCTCCCCTCGAGCTTCCAGAAAGGCATCAGACAGCTTGATTGTAGCCTGGTGAGACCTGTATCAGACTTGTGACTTCTAAACTAGGAGAGGATAAATTTGTGCTGCTTTAAGCTGCTGCATATGTGGTAATTTGTTACAGCAGCAATAGAAAACTAGTGGTCAGCATTTCCAGCCCCATGAGGGCGCTCTCCCAGGACAGGCCAGTCTTCTCTAGGACACTCTCAAATCCTTCTGCAGAGAGAGCAGGCTATTCCTGCAGGAAGCTGACTTGCAGGTGTAACCCAACTGCCAAAGGCCTCAGAGCAGCGAGACAGGCAGGTCCCACCCAAGAGTCAGTTAAGCTTCAATCCCAAGAGAGGATAAGCCACTGGAATCTCCACTGCATATGGCCAGAGAGAAGAAAATACTCTAAAGCAGCACCAACCCAAAGAACTTTCTGCAATGAGGGAAACATTCTATATCTCTGCTGTCCAATATGGTAACCACTAGTCACATGTGGCTACGAAGCACCTGAAACGTGACCAGTGTGAAGGAGGACCTGAATTTTTTCTATCTTACTTAATTTTCTTTACTTTACATTTAATTTTTTATATCTGCATGTGGCCAGTGTCTACAGTGTTGGACAGAGCAGCTCGAGAGAAGTGAGTCTGCCAGGCAGCACTCAAACCCTCTTTTCCACCTCAGCTCACAAAAGGAGAAGCGACAGAGAGGGTTCATGCAGAGTCACTACTGGCTGCTCTCTGATGCATGTTGCAGAACTACGGAGAGAAACAGAGATAGCTAAGAGAGATGAAATAGGAAAAGGTCCACAACAGTAGGGAAATTCCTCCTAATTAAGACAGCAAGCTTCTGTACACTAAGGACTGAACTCTAAGCATTCATAAAGAGATTTAAGAAAAACTCTCTGCAATCGGCCTATCAGGTCAGATGTTCAATGAAGTCACTAGTCCAGTGTGGGACTCAGGACAACACTCTAGAACCGAGGCAGGACCAGGAAAGAGGAAATGGGTTCTGACAAAGTTCCTACTCAAGTTAGCACAGTCTAAGGGCTTTATCAACATCAGAACATGATGGGTACTTGGCAACCAAAGCACACTTTAGGGGATGGACTCACCTTTGTTAAAATGAAACAGATCCCTCTGGCTGTCTCAGCAGCTCCAGACAGCTGACCAGTCAGAGCCTGGGCTGACTCCTTGGTCCCTTCCTCAGGGGTCTCCTCCCTCCTCTCTCTGATAATTATAGTCAACACCACACCCAGGGCCCAGAGGTGAGCTGCTCAGGCTCTAACATTCTACCCCAAACACGGCCCCTGATCCCTCTCCTTTACCTCTCGCCTTAAGCAAGGGAGATTGGCATTAAACAAAACAACGACAAAAATTTCTGAAGTATCTAAAGGAACAAAAAAAGAAATAGCTATGTAAAATACAAAATAAATAGCAAAATAAGTTTCCACATAGTCTTTCTGACATCACTAAGATTCACTCACAGAATCAAGGGGCTGATACACACGCTCCTTGCTATGTTTTCTTCCCTCCCAACTGACACATCTCCACATGGTGGGCACGGAAACTGAAGCCATCCAGAGGAATGACAGGGTTTAGAGCAAAGTGGAAGGCTGTGAGTCCAGTGACAATGTCTTTTACAAAGAAGCAGGAGATACCAGGAGTACAGAAGAAGATGACAGTAAAACAGGAGAGACAATAATGGTAACGCCAAACGGCACAAGTCCCAAAGACTCAGTGTTTTCTTTTTTTTTTTTTTTTCCAAGATTTTATTTTTCCTTTTTCTCCCCAAAGCCTCCCGGTACATAGTTGTATATTTTAGTTGTGGGTCCTTCTAGTTGTGGCATGTGGGATGTCACCTCAGTATGGCTTGATGAGCAGTGCCATATCTGTGCCCAGGATCTGAACGGGCGAAACCCTGGGCCACCGAAGCGGAATGCGTGAACTGTAACCACTTGGCCACAGGGCCGGCCCCTCAGTGTTTTCTTAATTATATTTGTCATTATACTTTTCAAGAGAGGTAGAAGAGTAACGGTCTGGAAGCAGCTATGAAGAGCAAGGAGGATCTTGTCCCCACCCCCACCGACCCTGATAAATCCAGTGAGAAAATAAACAAGGTGGTAGGCAGAATTCTAAAATGACCCCAATGACCCATGCCCTAGTATAATCCTGCCCCTTGAGTGTGGGCAGGACCTGTGATTATGATGGGATATCCTCCTTATAAGGCAAAGGTGAGGGGTTTGCAGCTGTAATTAAGATCTCTGACCAACTGACATTGAATTAATCCAGAGACAGTATCCTGGATAGGCCTGACCTAATCAGCTGAGCCGTTACAAGCATCTAGAGGGATTCTCCTGCTGGCCTTGAAGAAGTAAGTGGCTATGCTGTGAGAGGGCCTGCGAGAGGCCTGTGAGAAGGCCATATGGCCAGGACCTGTAAGAGGCCTCCAGGAGCTGAGAGCAGTCCCCAGCGGGCAGACAGCAAGAAAATGGGGACCTTAGTCCTACAATTACAAGGAATTGAACTCTTCCAACAACTACATGACTTTCTAAGAGGATCTAAGCTCTAGAAAAAAATGCAACCCCAACTGAGACCTTAATTGTGGTCTTGTGAGACCCTGGGCAAAAACCAAGTTGGAATGTCTGGACCCCTGACCCATGGAAACAGTAAGATGATAAACGTACATTGTTTTAAGCTGCTAAGTTTGTAGTAATTTGTTGTGCAGCAATAGAAAATTAATACAGAAGGGCTGTAGGGGACTCTGTATCCTTGAAGAGAAGCCAGGTTCCTCTTAAGACAAGGGGACTATCCTGAGCCATTTTAAACTCTTGAGATGCATATGCTCATAAAAGCATAGAGGGAGATGCTTGGTCCACTCCTCTAGGGGCATCTTCAGCTGCCAAGAAAGTACTCCCTGGGAAGATGGGCAACCCTGATGTGGCAGCTCTTGTTAGTTCCACACTGGAGGAGGGAAGGAGGTCTTGCTAAATTTCTCAAAACAATCCTCACTTATGGGAAGATGAGTTTAATGGAAATGTTTCATGAAAATGTTTGCATAGCCCCTGGCTTTTACTCACTTTATATTCTGTCAACAGTCACCTGTTTCCTATACATGTCTTAATATGACTAGGTAACTGTCTTTTTACTTTCACTAAACTTTTATTTTTCACAAGATTCTGCATTGGGGCTAAATAAGTGGCTAAACTGGCTTCACTGGTCAAGTTTTCTTTTCTTTCTTTCTTTTCTTTTTTTTTTTTTTTTTTGCTGAGGAAGATTCACCCTAAGCTAACATCTCTTGCCAATCTTCCTTTTTTTGCTTGAGGAAGATTTGCCTGAGCTAACAACTGTATCAATCTTCCTCTATTTTGTATGTGGGTTGCTGTCACAGCACAGCCACAGATGAGTGGTGTAGGTCTGTGCCTGGGAACTGAACCCAGGCTACCAAAGCAGAGCGTGCTGAACTTAGCCACTAGGTCACAGGGCCAGCCCCAAGTTTTCTTATTCTTGATTAAGCAAAGACAAACTTGCACATGTCAAGGATCAGAGCCACTATTAAATTTTATATTCCTCTTACTAATGTCTCCCTCAGAAATGTACCCTATACCTTTATTTTCTATATAAAAATCACCATTTTCTTAAACTACATTATTTTTACAGTTACCTATATTTACAGAGTATTTTAAATAGATCTCGACACCTGAAAACTTTTATAATTGTTGGAGATGTACTGTTCCAGGAACATGTGAAAAACCAAATCACCTCTTTGAGTTGTAGGTGCTGGAGTGGCTTGCTGGGCTCATCCTGACAGCAGCCTCATGTCAGTACCACAGCAAAA